ACCGCATATCGCATCAGTATGTACTCTCCTGTTCGGTCTACTAGCGCCCTAAACCCAAAAAGACAGTACATGGGTATGTTCGGCTCGGGGACCCTCGCGCATCCGAGCTGCTAAAATGCAGCTTTCCAGACGAAAGGAAGCCATCCCGGCTGCGTATCGCCGTCTGGACTTTTGGCTGGTACCGAGCTACGAGTTGAACTCCCGTTGAGGGGGGGGATGAGGGAAACGACTGGAGCCACCAAGACGCGAACGACTAAGGCGACGAGCTCCTGGGCAAGTCTGGCGCAAACCGGTGGCGTAATAGACTTCCTTGACGACATCTCAAGAAGCAGGTACGTGGCCAAGCAAGGGCGATTTACCTTTGAAGTTCTTGTAGTCCTTCGTATTTATCACCCACGCAGGACTGTATGGTTCAACAGGAATACCTGCCGGTCTCATTCTTCGATGAGCTCCAATATGCTGTGAAGGGTACATGTAGTAATCGAAGTTAGCCATTTTGTATGGGCAGAGGACCATTCGAGCCCAATAGGGTGCTGATTGGTCGAGCTTTGCTTTCCTCGCAAAGGCGTATCCTGAACCGTTGGTTGCTGAACAGAAGGCTTGTTTTGTGATCAGCCAACAAGCCGTCCGCCTCTTGATCACTCACTGCGAGCAATGTGACCTGGGAAACCTGATTTTCCAAAGACCGAGGAATGGCCAACACCATCATGACTCCGACATATGGCCCACATCCGTGGATCGAGCAGCTCGTATGTACAATATTGATGACGTACGTCGTCTAGTTACAGAGCGTATATTATGGGGTCATTGCGATGCCCGTTCCCTCGGAGATCCAGTATTGTGTACGGCGTGATCATCACCTGTCGGACGGGGTGGAAGAGTCGTTGTTATTGTTGTCTTTGTGAAAGCCGAGCATGCTACCGAGCACACCCCCGGGCTTGGGCACCGGGCACTCTCTCTTCAGAGCTCTTGCCCTATCTGCGTCGCCAGACCCAGGCTCTGTCTCGAACTGCAGAATCTCGTCTTTGCCTTCGGTATTTTCCACGCGTCTCCGTCTGCGTCTCTTGGGCTGTCCGTCGGCAGACATATCTCCATCGGCAAAGGCAACCCTGGGGGCGGGACACGGCAGGATGTGAGGGACGCCGACGACGAGGAAGCTGGCCACAACAGTTGCTGCGAAGAGGGAGGAAGTCATACGCGACCTCGGGTGGAGGTGAGGCGGTGGCATGATGAATTGGTATTCGGATTGGAGGGCGGACGGGGCAAAATGAACGAGAGAGGTCCAGAGGGAGCGGGGTCTAAGTTCAGGGGAGCTTGCGCCAATTTTTATCAGCCATTGAGGTTCGCATTTTGGGCTCTGGGCCAACGGTACTCACTCGTGGCTTTTGCAACACTTATAGGACCATTATGTGCTGGGAATAAACCGGTCCCTTTGATGTCATAAGATTGCTGAGGTCAACCTCAATGTGCAATGCGGATGTCAGGGTAAGGTACCACGCGGGTGGGCGGGTTCCTTGTCAAGGTCGTTGGGCGGGCTGGACCGTGGACCGTTGTCGTCGAGCTTCGGGAAGATGGAGCTTCGATTGCAGTTCGGTTCTTAAAATTATTTCGTCAGTGGACCCCTCACCAGTGGCAGCTCCAGCTCTCAGACTCCCTCAGAACTTCAGTGGGCAGCTTCCTGTGCATCTTCGCTCTTGCACTCGCTGCCCCAAGCTTCCCCACGGTAGGTACGTACCTGAGCTCGTCTAGCGCCAAAATTTGGCCAATGGCGGCTAGCGTGTCGATAAGAACGCACGACCCATTTGACATTCGCTCTCCCCACCAGACAGGGATTTCTATGGTTCACTTGGCAGTTCCAGGTCCCTGGGCTGGGCCTGTCGCTAATGAACTCCTTGCTCCCTGCTTCTTGCTGGATTGGCGACCGCTGCCATACCATTCTTGCCATTCTCGAGGTTGTGGTTTCGCGCCATTCCCAGGCTCCCGTCGCAAAAAAACAGCCGCCAGCCTAGAACACCTCGGTCCAGTCAAGATCATCCGCCCCATCCACACGACATCATCACGACCGATCCCTAGAGCGCTACCATCTGTGCTTGTTGCATCTGCAAGACGGACCAGCAAACATCTCGGCATAGCATGACACGAAGCTGACGCGACCCTACGAGACATTGCATTCGATTCCCACTTTCATATACAAGTTTCGGCCCGGCTTGGTCTTCCCGTTCTGCGCGGCATCCACTCGCATCAAAGCAGCATTACTTATTACTGATAAACTTTCACAACCATGAGTGATCTGGACAGGTTAGTGCCCTTCGGCTCTTGCGACCGGGCATACGAATTCCCCGCCGGCGACCTTCGTTCGTGATGCCTGACCTCTTTGGATAGGGCGATCGCTCAGCTGCGAGCATGCCGGCCAATACCAGAATCAGACGTCCGCGAGCTCTGTCACAAGGCACGAGAAATCTTGATTGAAGAGGGGAATGTAGTCACAGTTAATGCGCCGGTAACGGTATGTCTCGAGCTCACATAACCGAAATGAAGACGCACCGAATCTGACCAAGCGGCAACAAGATATGCGGAGATATTCATGGCCAGTTTCACGATCTCATGGAACTATTCCGCGTCGGCGGCGATCCTCCCGATACCAATTATCTGTTTATGGGTAGAGTTGTCCTTGGCCTGTCATTCCTACCACCGAGGTCATATTAAGCTGACTGTTCCATTGTCGGACTTGGCAGGCGATTTCGTTGACCGCGGCTTCTACTCGCTCGAAACATTCTTACTTCTTCTCTGCCTCAAAGTTCGATACCCCGACCGCATGACCCTCATCAGAGGCAACCACGAATCACGACAGATCACAACTGTGTACGGTTTCTACGACGAATGTTACAGGAAATATGGCAGCGCAAATGTTTGGCGTTACTGCTGCGACGTGTTCGACTATCTCGCCTTGGGCGCTATCGTTCTCGGGGCCTCCAATACCATCTCACCAAGCGCCGGCGAGTCCAGTATACCAACAACACCTGAAGGGGACGAGGTGGAAATCGAGGTGTGCAACGCACAGGGCGAAGTAATGAGCAGGTTTCCTCGGCCCAACAACGGTACAAACAGCGATTTACAGAGCAGGACCAACGGGATACCACCACCGAGTAATACAGGCCCGCCTGGTTCAGGAGCGTCGGGATCGAGCAGAGGAACAGTGGGCAACCCAGCCGGCGCCGTCCTTTGTGTGCACGGCGGTCTTAGTCCGCTGATAGACAAGGTTGATAAGATCAGGCTTCTCGACCGAAAGCAGGAGGTTCCTCATGAGGGTGCTATGTGCGACCTCTTGTGGTCCGATCCAGACGAGATTGACGGTTGGGGGTTGTCGCCTCGGGGTGCCGGCTTCCTTTTTGGTGCCGACATCGTCAAGGTATTCAATCATCGCAATGACCTCAGCCTGATCGCCCGTGCCCATCAGCTGGTCATGGAAGGTTTTAAGGAAATGTTTGATGCCAGCATCGTTACCGTTTGGTCAGCGCCAAATTACTGCTACCGCTGCGGAAACGTTGCTGCACTTCTTGAGCTATCGGAGGACGATTCGGGTTTGGGCGTGCTTGCCCGCAATAACGGAGATGTCAATCGCAGCGATGGCGGTGGAGGTGGAGGGCTCGGGGAGAGTGAGCCACAACCGATGAAGGGTCCAGCAAGGCGCTACCGTGTCTTCCAGGCGGCTCCTCAGGACTCGAGGGGAATGCCGGCCAAAAAGCCGGTTGCCGACTACTTCTTGTAAACCGGTAGCTAGGAATCGTCGGAATACGTTGTCCTAGGATCGGTCTATCAAAGACAAGTGGGACGGTGTCAAATACGATGTGTTGCCGAATTTGCGTCTTACTTTGGGATATTATACCCCAGCGTCCTGGATTATGGGTTTAAAGATTTTGGTTCATGAAAACGCAGGAAACGATGTGGATTGTCTTGTTCCGGGGAACATTGGCATAAAGTGCGCGGGACAAATCGATTCGATTTGGAAAATAAACTGCCGAATAGATCTGGCATCCCCCAAGACCGTAACTGTCCAGAAAAGGCGTGATTCGAATTTTGGGTGATGGCGATGGGCTAGCATTCCTTCCTCCGGCCGGCAGGCGTTTATGGTGTCGGAATTGGTGTGATCTTTGTACCTCGTCATAGGAAAACATAACGGCTCTTGAATCAACTACTAAAATTCCTGGAAGAACGCTCGGCAGTCTCACTTTTTGGCCCCAGAACCGATGAGTATCAGTCAGTCCTTACCTTTACGTATGCTGTTGTCTGCGGACATATGTATTCCGATCCTCAGATGTGTTGCCATCGAGTCTTCGGGGGCCGGTCATGCGGAGATCCGGAGCGAGTAGGCTACGTAGAAGCCGGACTGTACTCATCGACGGCATCTCGGGCCCCGGCTGATCGGATTCGGACGGGCCCAGCTCCATCCGGTGCGGGTCCTGCTTTTTGGTGGCTCCCGGACCAGGTCGCCGTGTCCGGTGGCTTGATCCCGAGTCATGAACCGACCGAAAAGCTCCGCACAACCAGGAACTGAGTTCCGTAGAGGCCCACCTCGATTAAATAGACAGTCGAGGTTTCCACAACAGCTTACCTTGCTGTTTCTATTTACACCAAACACGGCATGCGAAAGGCATGATCTAGGAATGTTCACCATTCAAAGTCACGGAAGGGGCTGCTGTCCTTTGTGAGATCACTCGTCGCCCGAGATGGTTTGAAACGGTAAGAGTAGTTTCTCCTCTATGATCCATAACAAAACTGAACCGCATCAAGTTAGCTTAATCCACGATGCATCCAGGCTTTGGAGCAACCAGCGCAAAACAGAAAGCGGAGGGTAACCGACGTTCAGTGTGTTCCAAAAATTGTATTACTACCGCCACCGGCCGGCCTCAACCAAGCCAAGATGTTCTGTTATTCCATCAAGACTTTGGAGCCATTGTACTGTTTTCCCCGACGGCCGATGGCAAGACGTGTCCCCGAATCTACTTCTTCTCCTGCGTCGTCCCGTTTTCCTTTTGCGCCCGCTCGTACTCGATAATCTGTCTGCTCCAGCTGGTGTAGTTGAAACCGTTGCGTTAGCTTGAGAACATTCCCGCGGTGCGCGCCCGCGAACACGTTGCGCATGCATGAATAAGTTTGGACGGGGGTCTGTCTGCCTGGACATACTATCTGCTGGGATAGAAGCGACCAGGCTCGGGCATCTTGTGGCGGTACTCCTTCTCGGCGCTAAGCTTCCAGACTGCGGCAGTGATGAGGAAGACGACGCCGCCGAGAACAGCCGTGTTCTTCTTCCAGTTGGCCGGCTGAGCGTACCAACCACCCGAAGGCGACCAGACGTGCTTGGGGTAGCTGGAGTTAAGGGCGAGGCAATGATTAGGACGGATCGATGACACAACACGGGCTCGGTTGGACAGAATGCGCGGAGGGTTTGCGCATGTTCGAGGACGATAAAACTCACGGAACTTGGGGACCGCCGCCCTATAGATGGGAAAGACAGTTAGCAGACGCAAAACATAGTAATGATGACGGCTATTCTAAGCAATTGGATGGATACGCACCATTGTGACGGAGTTTTGGGGTGATTTGGTGAGGTAGGTTGGACGTTGGACAAGGATTCCTCCTCGCAGTCAAGCAAGGCCGGTTTGTATCGTCAACTTGTTTGCGATGAACTGCGAACAACAACAGTGGTGATGCTACAGCAGGGAACTGTTTAGAAAGGACGAATGGTTAATCCGCCTAGGCTGACGAGGGGCTAAATCGCATCAACCTCCAGGCCTAAAAGTCACCTTGTCGTCCTAACCGGGGCCGAGGGCGCATGCGGCAGGCGAGCGGCGGGCAGCTCCCGCTTGTCCCCACGGTGCACCGCTTGCTAAACAGACAGTGTAGATAGTGGATCGCGGTTGAAGATGGATCTTGTGGAGACCCCTCACCGGGGCAACAACGAATTATGTCAGCCGGTTTTTATGGCTCGGTTTTGGGGGAGTGACCCCTGCGCTTGAGCACTGATTCACGGCTGTGGGTGGTGGGCTTGGGTGGGCTCTACGTGTGGTGAGCGTTCAGATTGGAGAACTTTTTTTTTACCCGTGTTCGACGGCCGGCCGAGTCTGAACGAGAACCCATCCGATCAACGCGCGACTCCGACCGGGACCCCGAGCAGCTTCCCACCCCGCGACCACCGGCTCACCACCTGCCCGTCCGATTTCCCTCACTCCATCCTATCCTTGGCAGGGCCTCCAGACGGCGCACACTTACGGAACCTGGGCCCCAGCACGTCAGCATCCGGTTGTCGAGCCGACCAGCACCCATAAAATATATCGCCCATGAAGAGGATAGCAACGCCCAGCTTGACGAGCCGGCTGCTCGTCGCCGCTCGCTCCGGAGTGTCGCCCGCCACCGCCGCCCTCCGATTCCGATCCGCAATCTCGGTACGATCGCAATCGACAGCTGCCCTCGCCCAGCACGATGCATCCCACGACCTCAACAATGACCGGTTCCCCCCTCTTGAGCCCCTCCCCCCCGCAGCCGAGTCCCTACCGTCGCCCCTCCCCGAACGGGCCTTGACCTCGGCCAAACTGGCCGCCCTCCACGCCCGTTTGAACCTCTCTCCCAAGATTCCCCTACAGACATTGGCAAGGACACTGGTCGACGCCTCGGCCGACGAGAACCCGCAGTTCAACAACGCCAACCTCGCCTTCGTTGGCCAGACCCTCATCAACTACCACATTGCCGAATGGCTCCTCTGCAAATACCCCCGCCTACCCCAGGGAATTCTCTTCGGTGCCATGAAGGCCTATGCCGGACCCAAGCCCTTGCTCCAGATTGCGCGGTCATGGGGTGTTGATACCGCCGCGGTGCCCGGCGGCGAGGTGGATCCCGGTCTTCTGCAGTTCGATGCCCTCAAGCCCGGCATCTCCATCACAAATTTCGGCTACAAGCGTACGGAGCTCGCGTACCTCGAGAAGTTCAAGTGGCGCCGCGGTATGGCCTCGCGTGTCGTCCTCGACGACGACTTCGGTGATGTCGTGCGCAGCGACCCCAAGGTTGCCGCCGACCTGGAGAAGGCAATGGAAGAGCAGGATCAGGACAAGACTCCCGACGAGGAGGAGGCCGAGATGGTGGCCAACGAGCAGGACCAGGACGTGAGCTACGACCGCTACGGCAACCCCGACACCCGGGCCGCTGCCGAGCGGGCCCACGCCTACTTTGTGCGCGCCGTCGTCGGCGCCATCTACGCTCACTGCGGCCGCGAGGCCGCCAAGGCCTTCGTCAAGGCGCACATCATGTCGCGCACCCTCGACATTGCCAAGCTCTTCGAATTCAAGTACCCCACCCGCGAGCTCGCCGCGCTCTGCGCCCGTGAGGACTTCGAGCCCCCCGTGGCTCGCCTCCTCTCCGAGACGGGTCGTCAGTCGCGCACCCCCGTCTTCGTTGTCGGTATCTACAGCGGCAGCGACAAGCTCGGCGAGGGCGCCGCCCCCTCTCTCGACCACGCCCGCTTCAAGGCCGCCATGAACGCCCTGAAAGCCTGGTATCTCTACAGCCCTGGCGAGACTCGGGTACCCAGCGACATGCTGGAGGAGGGTGCCAAGCCCTGGACGCCAGCATACATTGATATGGGTGAGGTTATCTCCCGCTAAGTGAGAAGGTTGGAACGCGGAGCAAGGCGGCGGACAGCAGGGGAGGCAGTAGAGACAATGGGAAGTGTGTGAAATGAAAGGGAAAAGAGAGAAGCAGGTGGCCTGCTTGAACTCTCGATTTTTTTGGTTGTGCGGCCCATCAACTCGGATAGGTTACCCCTATGGAAATCGACGCAAGAGGATTGATAGGGAAACAATAACGAGTGGATTCTGGTGGTGTGGCCAAAAGCCCCGCTTACCTTTCCACTCTTGTCCTGTTGAGAGCGGGCAATTGTCGTCCTGCGGAGGAAGGGGATTTAAAATGGATGGTTCACTCTCATCCGTTCCCTTTCCTTCCATTGTTCCTTGCTCTTTTTTGCCGAAGACGAGATGTTGTATACAGATTTGCGCGCAACGGACATACATACATATACACACACGCACGCCCCCGCCACATATACCAATACAAGGGGGGTTGGGACGGAACTGGGAATGAAGAAGGGCTGGTTGGTGGCTGCTTGGCTTTGCTTTCGAGATGGAAGACACAATCCTCCTCGGAGGTGGCATCTGTGTCTTTCTTTCTCAGTGTATAATATCAAAAAGTAGCCGGGGCCAGGGAGAGGGAGGGTAAGATCATTTGTATGTGTAGCATTAAGAAGTCAAATTTTTACGAGGCATCAACGAAGTACATGACATGACAACATTTCCTCTGATCTGTGATCAAAGAAGGCCAGTTGGAGGCGCGAGATGAGGTTAAAAGAACGAGGGGCAAAATTGCGTGATACATACTCGATTAACCACTTGCTCGTATCACGACACGAGGAGTCAACGGCGAGGCATACTTTTCTCTTCTCCGGTTTCCTCATTACCAGATTCACGAGATCCTCATCACCGCTGCGCATTCAACTCGTGATATCCGTGACATGGCATACTACCCGAAGAGCTAAACCACAGTTCTCCCTTGCAATCCCCTCCATTTTTCTTCGTCCACTACACAATCCCCCCCATTCACTCCCGTCCCATCTCTCGCCCTTCCACCTCATCCCAGCTGTCTAGAATTAATCTCTGGCATTGAGGGGAGGAGGACGTATAAAAGGGAAGTTGGAAACAATTATCACTCTGCATGGATATACAGCCGAGATATGTAAAACCTCAGTCTTATTTGAGTAAAAAACTATACTCTACTCATTTCAACAAGAGAAAACCTCAACACACTCAGTCACCCCTTTCCCTACACGTACCAAAAATTTCCCAGACACTGCCCAATAATTTTACCAAAAACCCTTGCCAGTTTCTTTTTCAATTTGGGATTCTAATCACTGCTATACCTACCAACCTAGTGAAATTGCTTTGAGGGGGACAAGTGAACTATGAAAAGTTCTGTTAGTTAGGTGTTTGTATTAGCAGCACCCGGGATTTTGTAACGTATTGTAAATATGACCTAGTGTCACGTTTGAGAAACCCTTGACGCGAAGGGAAATTTGGAAATCATTGTAAGCTACTTGAAGGGTAGAGGTAGTTTTGGCCGTTGGAGTGGCCGAAAGTTGGTAAATTTTGTGAGGACCCATAAAACTTGGGTACGTGTAGGAAAAGGGTGAGTGCGCCAAGGTTTTCTCTTCAACAAGTACATTAGGTATCTCTAGTAAGGCCTCTCTTGATCTTCATGTCACAACCTCTCCTGCTCATCCTACTTTGGGGGTATAACCATCCATCTCTATCTCATCCATCGTCATGCATCCCATTTTTTCGTAACCCATTCCTACTAGCTCCATCACAGAACAGTAACCCACGAACAATCACTCGTCTCTCAAATCAACAAAAAGAAGAGACACAACGCGCTCGCTCAACTGAAGTGATCACCCTCGCCCAACCTACCCTCAATCCCCAACCCAACCCTCGTCCTCTGCCTCTCCTCCGCCATCCTCTTCTCCCTCTCCAGCCTCCTCTTCTTCTTGCGCTCATACACCGCCCTCACCGTCGCCCGAATCTTCTCCTTCCCTTCCTCATAGTTCGCCCTCGCGAGCGCAACAACCTGATCAACCTGCTCCGGCGTGTACACAAAGTTCCACGTGCTCATGTAATCGCTCGAGGCCGGATCGACGGAGCCGGGCACCTTCTCGTTGGCCAGGAACGGCATGTAGACGACCGCGATGCCGGCGTCTGGCTCCATGAGCTTCCACGACGAGCTATCGTCTACCGGCGGCGGCGGCGGGTCCTCGGTTCGTCGCTCCTGGGTCGTGCCGACCCAGACGGTGCAGTAGCCGAGCTCGTGGGCGGTTTGGTCGTATTTCTCCTGCTGGCTCATCAGGCTCTTGTCGCTGCCGCCTTCGGGCTTTACGTTGGGGTCATCAGCGTGCCGGGTGGCTTGGTCGGCTTTGGCTTGGGCGAGTTTGTTATCGGCTTCGGCTTCTGTGGCTTCTTCGGCCTCCTTCAACTCCTTGGCGGTGGTGGAGGGCGATGCGGAGGGCCTGGGCCAGCCGGCACCTATTGGCCATCCCTTGATACCCCTTTGCCTTGCATAACCCTCGACAACGGAGAGCCAGTTGTCCGTTTTGATGTCGGCGGAAGCATCAAAGGCCACGATGATATCGACGTTACGTCCTGGCCGCAGTAAGGGATATATGGGAAGGTTGTTGGACATGCCAGAGTCCATGAGTTGGATATAATCGGACTCGATGGCAAGCCGAGGAACCGTTCTTGGAAGCTTGCCATTCATTCCGTGGATGAAGTTCGGGATGGTCGCCGGGTCGATCGGATGGACCTTGCTTAAATCCTCATTGTGACCCCAGATTAAGTTGTCTACTGCCTGGAAACCACCAAGACTCTGGATCAAAGGGCGGATTTCCCGGTAGTAATGGCTGAGTGTTGCGCAGAAAGCACTGCCCCATATTCCTAGGAGTACGGGTAACCGAATTTCGGGAAGGTAGAAGCCTTCCGTCGTGGGTAGATTGACGCCATTTTGAAACCTCCTGCCCATAGCCCAGGTCGGAATACCGGCAGCGAACTCTTCGCAGAAAAGTTCAAACGGAGTCATCTCAAACCATTGAAACCATGCTTCTTTCTTGGCCTCAGCTTTGGCCGCCTCTGAAGCATGCGACTGCTCGTTGCCGGCTTCGTCAAGCTCCGGAATCTCGTGGCGCACAGCTGTATAAATGGGCATGGGATTTTGTCCGTACCGAATGTACTCTTGTTGGTGAGATAGCTTGAAGTCATGTGCGTTGACGCCAAGTTCTCC